CACGGGCTCAGGCAATCCACTCACCTCAGCCTCCCAAAGGCGCGAGATTACAGGCTGAGCCACCGAGCCCGGCTCCAGCTAATTTTTTAAATTTTTGTTGAAATGGGGGTCTCGTTATATTGCCCAGGCTGGTCTGGAACCCCTGGCCTTAGATGATCCTCCTGCCTCAGCCTCCCAAAGTGCTGGGATTACAGGAGTGAATCATTGCACCTGGTCTGATTTTATACTTGTGTTTTTCTCTTACACTCAAAACTCGATTGTTTTGTTTCCACTTGTCTTAGGATAAAGAATTTGAAAAGAACAGTGCCGATATTACTGCTAACAACAAACGTACTCAATGAAGTGTGATTCCTGCACTTCTGGAGTGGAGACAACACCCCATGGAAGATGTGCAGTGGATGTGGTTGGGGCTCACGACCGCTGAAGCACTTTCCTCTCAGACGGCCGGCTCAATCGATGTTGTGGCAGACGGTACTTTCTGGAGTAGTGGCAACATTTCCCACCTCTCATACACTTCCGGACCTGGCTGTGCCCCTTTTCCTTCCCGTGGACGTGGTGGTTCTCAGGACAGCCTCTGCTACAGAGGACGGCGGAGTCAGACCACGGCCTCCAAGTTCAGATCCTAGAGGCTACAAGCTCCTGCCGCTCAGGATGGCACCTCCGGGGCCACAGAAGTCAGCGAACCTGAGGCCGCCACACTGAGAGACCACAGCGAACAGAGATGCCCCAGCAGCCCCAGCCTGGGACCCAGGCACAAACCTTTGGCGGATCTTGACCCTGACCGAGAACCTCAGCTGAGCCCAGTGACCCCAGAGCCACCAGTGAGACAATGGCTGTTTTCAGCCATGAGGTTTTGGACGACCTGTCAGGCAACAATAGACAGCTGGAATGAGCTTGGCTCACTTTGCCTTGGGGACGTTCGTTTTTCTTACGGGCTTAATTTCTGTGTACGTAAAACACTGACAAGGTTGAAAGACAGACGTGCCAGTACTCTGGGTCTGCTGTCACTGGCCTGTAGTCAGTGCTCCCTGGGACACTGGGTGGGTGCTCCGGGGCTGCCTTGGACCTGGGCGGTGGGCAGACAGGCTGGCTCCAGTATGTGTGAACGGTACGTGTGCGCACAGCACTGCATGCGTGGGCCAGTGCATCCTGCAAGTAGACTGTGGGCACAAAGACCAGCACCCATAGCCAGCACAGACACACTCCGCCACGTGGGGCTGCAGCCATGGCCGACGTGCGCTGATGGCCTTTCCTGCATGACATCCCAGTGCCAACAACTCTCTCTCTGGATGGACATGGCCTGGCACTGACTCGCACAGGCCCGAAGCAGCCCCTGGCTGCGGCCATGCCTTCCTCAGTCAGGAAGGCGGGAGTGCCCATGTCTGGGGGCAAATCAGAGTCTGGAAGTGCGGGCCTGGGAGCAGGATGGGGAAGACAGACGGCCCCCAAGGTGCCACCCCCTTATCTCAACCATCGGCCGTGTGATCCCCGCCTGTCTGTCTCTGATGGCCATGCTGGGCAGCCACCAGGGCCCGCCTGCTGGGTGTGGACCGGCTCTCAGGCACCCGCGGCGTTGACTCATCAGAACTGGGGCGGCTGGGCGGCCTTTGTCTGGGGCTCAGCGGGTTCCCGGGTCTGAGCCTGGCTTTCTCCGGCTCAGCTCCCTCAGAATGCACCCGCACCCCCAGGATTAGTGAGAGCCGGCAGCACGGAGGGGGGCTGCCCCAGCTGGCGGCAGAGGCTCAGTCGACCGAGAGCCTGAGTCGCGCCCTGCTGACCAAGCGGCCCTGGCAACCCGGGCCCCCCGCCGAGTGCTGAGCGTGCAGGGCGAGGCAGAGAGGGCTCGAGTTGAAGAATTTATTATGAACGCCTCCGCCGGTGGCCACACTGAGCGACACAAGCACACTCTTAGCGTGGGACCCGGGACACCCGTGTCGTGACAAGGGCTGTGGTCCACGGCGGCTGGGAGGCTGCAGCTTTCTCACGGCCAGCCTCCTCACGGGCAGCCTCCGTTCTGAAGCAACTGTAGATACTCCCTATGCAGCTTCTCCTGTGTCTCGAAGAGCTTCTTCAGCTTCTTGGCCTGGCCTTTGCTCAGCTCCTTCCCCTCCGCGTCGTGCGTGGGCAGACCCTGGAACACAGCGCTCAGGCCTGTCAGCATTCTGCCCGGTGGCCAGGCCCTGACCCCCTCCTCAGCCTCCTTGTGGGATAAGCTGGGGCTCTCTATGTGGTGCTCTTGGGGCCGGCATGGGGTGACCAGCCGCCATGGGTCTGGTGCACCCACCCGGTAGTCCTGGAGGCTGCGAATGGAGTGGGCACCCCTAGTCTGGGTGCCTGCTGTCAGGGCAGAGGCATTGTGCCCGCATGGCCATCATGCCCACAGGAACTGGCAGGGAGGGGTCCCCGAAGCCTGGAGGCAGTGCCTGGAGGCCATGCCAAGGGGCCAGCCAGAGGCGTGTGCACCGCGGCAATTCAGCCCGCCTGCGAGGACCCAGGCAGACCTGGCAGATCAGCTTCAGCCACTCTAAGCTCAGCAGAGATTCAGCCACTCTAAGCTCAGCCCAGGCCACAACTCCCCTGGCGGGATGGACTGCAGCAGGGTTGGGAACTCGGGCCAGGGCTCTGGATCCAGGCAGGCGCGGACGCCCAGCCAGCCCTGAGAGTCTGCTTGTCCAAGGCTCACGCTCCCGCGGTCCCAACTTAATGTGGCCTGATAAAAATTTCGAAAGGAAGAGGAGGACTCTCACGTTTTCATCAAACCTGGAGTACTTGTCGCTCTCAGACAGGAACATCTCACTGGGCGGGATCTTCATCCTGGCCAGCCGAGCCGCCTAGAACACACAGCATGGCGGTCCCCGCCAGTACTCAAGGCCTCGCCCCAGAGCACGCGCCCGCCCCACCTCCAGCCCGCCCCACCTCCAGCCGGCACTTGCTCCCAGCTCTCCAGGACTCAGGGCTGGGAGGGATGGGGAGGGGGAGGCCCGGTGGAGGTGACGTGAGGGAGGGACCCGAGATGAAGTCAGACCAGGGGCTGTAGGGAGCTGCCGGAGGCCACTGTGACAGCAGAGAGTTTGCACGTGCTTGGAGCTTATGGCCAACAAAAGGGTGCAGCCTCCCCAGGGTCTGCCCCGGGCCTGTGTGGGAAGGGCCCACAGGCCTTGGCGTTGTGGCCACATCGGGGTCAGCGTGCACGCCCCCCAGGCACGCCCCACCTCCACGCCCTAGGCACGCCCCACCTCGGCACATGTGGCTACCTCCTGCTCCTGCCTCCGTCGGGTCGCCTCTTCCTTCTTCCTCCGCTTCTCCTCTTCGGCCTGGGGAGAGGCAGAGCCCAGTGAGACAGGGCTGCCCTGGGGCCTGGGTCTCTTGGGGTGGGCTCCAGCCACGTGAGCCCCTTCCAGGGCCTGGTTTGGCAGGCTAGACTCTGACCCAGCCCCTGGAGGGAGATGCATGCTGGCATGGCTCAGGCAGCACACGGACCCATCTGTGCCTCGGGGGCCCACAGGGCACCTGTGGGGACCAGTCCCTGCTCTAGAGAGAGGTGCGCTCAGTGGAGTCAGAGCCAGTGTCAAAGGACCCTGGCACAACCAGCAGGAAGCCACAGATCAGGACAGCAAGCCAGGCCTAGGGGAGGGCTGTCGTGTGGTGACCAGGACAGCATCGTGGGGCAAGTCTTGGGGCACTTGGGAAGGGGTGAGGGCCCAGTAGGATGGGGGCAAGGGCAGAGACCAGAGGGTGTCGGTGAGGAGACAGAAGCCCACTCCAGCCTGGCCAGGGGGAGGATGGTGCTGGTGGGGAGGGCCGGGGAGGAGCAGCCCTGGCTGGGGCTGGGTGGAGCCAGGAGGCCCAGACCCTGAGGGGAGGTCCCAGAGGGGAAGCCCGCCTGGCCTCTGGAAGTGCTGGCTAGAGCCACTGCCTGAATAGAATGGACGGACCCTCCGCCAGAAGGAAGGAGAACCAGTCTGGGGAGCTGAGAACCATGAATCCCAGAGGACATTTTGGGCTCCAGACGCTTCCTAGCTCAGCGGTGCTGCCGGGCAGGACTGGTGAGGGAGTCCAGGCACCAGCACAGTTTGGGGCCACAGAGAATGTGGAGTTGGGGTGGCCTGAGACAGACGGTGGAGAGGCTGTGGGTGTGGACGAGGTCCTGGGGAGGGGAGGGCTGGGGAGGCAGAGGCAGGAAGGCATGAGGGCCCAGAGACTCAGAAGGAGGGTGGGCTCCTGCGAGGCCAAGGGAGGGAGACCCGAGCCTGCCAAGGGGAGGCCAAGAGGCTGAGGCGGGAGGATGGACCCAGGCTTGGAACTCGGCATCGGGGACACAGCGCTAGGGATTTTGGCTTTTCTCCCCAGTTGAAATAAAGCATAATAGAGGCGGGGTCTCACTATATTGTCCATGCTGGTCTCAAACGCCTGGGCTCAAGCCATCCTCCTGCCTCAGCCTCCCAAAGCCCTGGGGTTACAAGCGTGAGCCACTGCGCCTGGCCTGCTTTTATTCCTTCTATCTTTTATTTACTTGTCTTCCTTATCTGTGCAACTGTTTCCCTTTTAAAGTCAGGATATGGCCAGACACGGTGGCTCAAGCCTATAATTCCAACACTTTGGGTGGCAGAAGCGGGAGGATGGCTTGAGCCCAGGAGTTCGAGACCAGCCTGGGCAACATAGTGAGATCTCATCTTTACAGAAAAATAAAAAATTGGCCGGATGTGGTGACATGCGTCTGCAGTCGCAAGGCTGGGGTAAGTGACCGTGACAGAATGGGGTCGGGGACCCACTCCCACCTTTCAGCTGCCGGAAGGACGCCTGGCGTCCAGCCCCTCACTCCCTGAGGCACTGTGAGTCCCAGTCACACGCGCTCACCCAAGTATCAGCCCCAGGGCCTGGGCCTCAGCGCCTTCCCTGGCCTCATCATCCCAGTCTTGGCTGATGTGACCCGCCCTGCCCACTCCCCTTTCCCAGTTCCTCCCAGAGGCCTGTGTCCCAGGGCTGCTGTCCCAGACTCGCCCTCTACCTAAGGGAGACCTGCCAGGGTCTCCCTTGGGTGTCTTAGGGCCCCGTCCCCTGGAGGCAGCAGCCCCGAGGCCCACCTCCCACCGGGCCGCCTGCATCCCCGGGGGTGCTCGCTCGTTGTGCCGGGCGGCTCTGAGACCTCACATTTCTGTTCCTGCTCTTCCCTGCTGGGCACTGAGGCCCTTGAACGCAGGCACCCTGCCGATCCCGGGAGTGTTGGAGGGGAGGCTACCTAGCCTGAATTGTACCCCACATCTTTAAAAACAAACAGACAAACGAATAAAACGATGAAACTCATTCATTACTCTTTGCACAAATTGCTTAGGTTCCTGTCAAGGCTGTCTGTACACCTGGTCAGCACTATTATTTGACCTTTTTATAAGTTCGGTTGAAATTAA